TATTTCTTTTACACATTTGACACTTGTCTTTTCAATAAAACATTATAGTAGGTAAATCTGACTTTTATTATGCATATTGCAGTAGCTGTATATCAGGTTTTCAAGTCTCCTTTTCTCTAGCATCGTACAGTTTCCCCGTACCCCCAAGACACACCCTGCGACTCCGCTTTGAAAACCACTTACTATAATAATCTATACAGATGGTAATAAAATAAATCTCCTCCTTCCAGTATTTACAAATAATGCGCCAATTAAAATTAGAGTAGATAGCGCCAATTTCTTCTTTCTGGCGAGACGCGCAATTCTTCTTAACACACGTCCATTACGAAAGGTGCGCCAGATGTGCATTTTCGTTCTTAAGAACTTTCGCCTGATGTCAAAAGTTCTTATCGCATACACTTAAATAAACCTTTTGTAAGATACACAAAATTTGACTAGATGTTGCCATATTTTAACACGCAATTTTACTTTCTACAATTAAATACACTATACACAAATCTAAATAAACAATATGCAGGAACAAAATAAGTAAAAATTTTGAATGTGTTCGAATAAACACACAATTAATTGATTGACAATGGCAAAAATTTATTCCGAAGCAAATGAAATAAAAAATAAAACAAAATTCCAGAAATAAAGAGGTTACCAAGCTTGCTGGGAAAATTTACCTCGCACGCGGACGTTGGACAAATGAAATAAGAAAATCTTAAAATTACTTACAATTTTTTTTATGATCGAAATAATCTGGTCATTCAGCGGCGGATTTGATGACAAACAACATTAACTCGATGAATGAATTGACGAGTTGCCGGTGGCTATTCAGGCGGTACAAACTTTTAACTTTGATAACAAGACAACCTTGGCAGAAGATATCACGGTGCACTAAAACTGCTTACTTTACTTCAACTTTCACGCGTTGATCTTCTCATAACTTTATATCAAATTCAGTTAACCTTCTTCTGTACACAAACATTATAATAAAAACAAACCTTGTCTTCAACTAATCAAATCAGGCGGACAACCCGAATATATAGCGTAATCCTTCGCGAAACCAGCTCCCATGCAGCCTTTTGCTTGCAGTCTTTAACGAAATGAAGTCTATTGATTACTAGAGAGAATAAAATGCAAAAATCTGTACCTTTAACCATCTTTGTTATTTCTTTCAGTGTGTTATACTTTTTACATCTATTTTTGTTCGTTGTGTTCGCATCTACTAAATCGGTTAAATGCTGGTAAATTTCCATACATATTAAGTATAAGTATTGTCCCTCTTTCATAAACATATTATTATCGATCGACACTTTTTATCGGACTAATACAAGTGCTAGGCTAGACGTCTAAAAAACAACGGTTTCGTGCCACAAGTTGTACATGCACGACGAAATTTTTTAGAAAAACATCAAACATTAGTTTTTTTGGGGTTGTTCGAGCAAAGGATATTACAGAGCCGTATGTCATACAGTACATACAATTTCTATTCATGTTGCTATCTCAGTCTAACAGGTGTGAATAAAAACAAAATAATAAAGAAATTACAGTATTATTCAGTCAAATTTCTCATGTTTATATATCATAATATATAT